TCAGATCACCATAATTTGGAGGATATACTGGAGTGGGCCTGTTTCCAGGCACGAGGTCGGGTTGACGTCGAAGGTTGTGGTCAACCTCCGAAGGCGAGGCCTCAACAGTGACCTCCTCGTCGCTGCTCTCGTAGGCCATGATGTTGCCTGGGTCACCGAACATCCAGTCGAAGAAAGATAGGGGCTGGTTTCCCAGCGCTCCGTTCTCCACAGGCGTAAGCTCGATATTTCCGATAACAAACCTGCGGAGGTACTCGAGGTAGTACGCGTACAGCCTACGGCCGCACGCCTCGAGCTCATCCAAATTGTCCATACTGCTAGCCCGAGTGAAAAATATATGTTCCACAGCCTCGAAATCTTGGAGGCTCAGATATTCAACAGACGGTTCACTTGAGCCTAAATGGACTTCGGTCGATCTACCCTTTCTATTTCCCTTCGCTGGACAACCCTTTACAAGATGATCGGTACTATCACACTCATGGCACTTTAGGATCTGGCCGCCACTACCTCGCGGGTTTCCCCGCCTACCTTTACCTTTTGCCTGAGGTCTCCCCACGGCCTTTTCCACGGCCTTTTCCCCCGAAAAATATATCACACTGATCATCTGAAAGCCTCTGGAGGAAAGCCGAGATGCCTCGTCCGTTCAACATTCGGCGACCCCGTTCGCCTTTACCTTTTCCTTTGAAGCTCCTCCGTATCCTCCTCCTAACACGACGCACTGGTTTTCATGTAATCCTCCTCCACCTACGCTTTGCTTGTTGTAATAACCAGAACAAGTGTTCGGCACGCTGACTGCCCCCTTCCATTTGCATGAAATCTGACCAATCTAGGGGTTCGGTACCATCTGGTGATATGGCATCGATGTCGGTGCCGGAGTCGAAGTCGTCGTGACCTAGGTAGGTGGACACACCGTCGTTTAGGGGATTCGCTTCACCCCATAGAGAACGGCGCGGTTGAGGTTCTCTAGGAGGAGGGCTGGTTGCCCAGCTTGGTTGCGATCGATCCCCTGTTAGTAGGGCAGTAGATTCTCCAGGATCGTCGGCCCATATGTTTGAGGGCCCGTTGCCAGGCTGAGCTTCAGTGGTTAAGGTAGTATAGAAGTTTCCACTGGCAGTTCCCCTCCCCTTCCAAACACTGACCCCACGTTACCGGGAGACCGTTCTGACAAATGGCCTATCGAACGCATCCTCTCACACAATTCGTCATACTGCTGTAGTGTTCGGGGCATTTGATAGTTGAGTGGCTGTAAGAGTTGCATGGCTCGCTGGTTGCCAACGCCTAGGGCGCGGAACAGGATAGCAGTGAGCAGTTGGAAGTTGGGAAGGTCAAAACCCACCGGCTGTGCCTCAAGACGGGCCATCTCGAACCGAGTAAGGGTTACGTCGATTCGTTCTCCGTGAGGCACATGAAAGTCGATGAGCTGAGTGCCTGAAGTGAGCTGGCGCTCATCTTCCAGGCGTTCGAACTTCATGCTTAAGAGGAACATAATGTAGGATACTGGGTCGGTGTGGACACCATCGATGTCCGCACCATAGTTTATAATGCCCGGTGGTACCCTCGTGGCGAGTGCCCTCGCTAGGCCACCCAGGCCGCGCTGCATGGCGGCTGCTTGGGCTTGTGGCGTCATGCGTCCACTTGTGACGTTAAGCCACGCGTTGACCTCATAAACGTATTCGCGGAAAGGTACGTTGCCTTGAAGGTCCCAGTATGGGCCATGTGTTTGCCCATCTGTGCTGTTGTCTCCTCGGCGCATGTGTCCGATTGCTGCCCCCAGCGCAAACCATATGATGGCGAAGATAACCAACCCAAGGCTGTGAAGATATGGGTGGTTATCAGGCGCGTTGCCGCGCTGGGGTAGGGCTTGTAACGCCTTGTCAAGTCTACGAGGCGCTTTATATTGCGGGTCTCCCCGCCTCTGCTTCAAGTACTGCGCTTTTGGCTCGTTGCCGAGCGGTTGGTAGTAGCGAAGTGATGAAGCGTGTATGGTACCAATGTTGTTGTCTAGACGTCGTACCTCTCGTGTTGCTTCTTGCTCTTGAACTGATCCTCGTAAATGTAGTTGGAGTGGTGGCGCAGGGTGGTAGTTGGTCACGAAGATCGTGCCGGATAGCGTGAGGATAAGAAGAGCAAGAGCTGACCACACGAGAGTGCGGCCAGCTCCGCTACCAAGTCTGAAATGACTCTGGCAGGTCATATAGCATCCAATTCCATGTCGAAGGAATACGATATGGGGAGTGGATGGATAAGATTGGATAAGATCGATGTAATGACCTTTCCAGCACATAGCGAACACTAAGGTAAGTGTCCGGGCAAATAGGGCGCGCGTGCCTTGAGCCAAAGGCAACGGCGCGCAGGCTATACTCCCGATCCTCTATAACATCTCCCAAAGAGCTACCCTTAAAGTTCTTGGCCCCTCCCCCTACCCCTCCCCTGGACCTGGACGGGCGGGTTCGCGACCCAGTGGAGGGTCCAAGACGGTCCAAGATGACCCCAAGGGGGCCTCAGAGAGCCGAAGATGACCTCCCAGACGGCTCAAGATGGTTCAAGATGGCTCAAAACGGCCTCCAGCATGCTCCAAAAGGCCCCAAGACCGCCCTCAGACGGCTCCAAGTGGCTACGGAGCCTCCCAAGGGAGCCACAAAAGGGCCGAAATCTGTCACAAACTCCAAATCTCAGCATGCTGTGCCTTCTCGCCGTCGACGGCCCTCCGAGGCCTCAAGATGGCGCTAAGAGGGCCCAAGAGAGTCCCAAGAGAAGCCCAAGAGGGCCCCAAGAGCGCACCAGTAACGCCCCAAGCGAATCCAAAGAGGCGTTTTCAGGAGCTTCAGAGAGGGGGGGCTCATTGACCACACACCCCTTGTTTCATCGAACGCATCCCAGATGGCCCCCAGAGTACCCAAGAGGGCCCAAAGAGGCGCCCAGGAGGCCCTAAGAAGCCCCCGGGTCCCCAAGAGGCTCCCAATAGATCCCCAAGAGGCCCCAAGAGGCTCCCCCGAGGCACCTGAGACGCTCCAAGAGGCCTCCAGGACTGCCAAGAGGCCCCGAAGACGCCCCCAAGGAACTCCAAGAAGTTCACAGGAGACATCCAAAGAGACTCCGAGGGGCATTCAAGAGGCATCTGGCCTTTCTGCTCGCCCTCCTCCTCCTTCTCCTTCTCCTCCTCCTCCTCCTCCTCCTCCTCCTCCTCCTCCTCCTCCTCCTCCTCCTCCTCCTCCTCCTCCTCCTCCCTTCCTCCTCCCTCCACCCTCCTCCTCCTCCTCCTCCTCCTCCTCCTCCTCCTCCTCCTCCTCCTCATCATCATCATCATCATCATCATCATCATCATCGTCATCATCATCATCAGCATCATCATCATCATCATCGTCATCATCATCATCATCATCATCATCATCATCAGCAGCAGCATCATCATCATCATCATCATCATCATCATCATCATCAGCATCATCATCATCATCATCATCATCATCATCATCATCAACATCATCATGCATCCTCATCATCATCATCATCATCATCATCTTCATCTTCATCATCATCATCATCATCATCATCATCATCATCATCATCATCATCATCATCATCATCATCATCATCATCATCCTTCGATTCCTCCTCCATCCTCCCCCTCTTGGGATATGACGGCTTCGCTGGCCCCCTACTCCACTGCATGCTCCCTCGCATTCCTAATCAGGACCACTCGCCTGGGCATCGCTTCTGGATGGGCTGGCGGGGTTACGCGAAGCGTCTAGGCTTATAGCATTGGTGCGCAGATCCACGGCTTGGTGAATCACATTCATTGTGCGCCCACGATATTGATCGCCAACAATACTAAACTATTACAGCAAGAATTGATCCTCGAAGCTTCCACTCCAACAAAAACTCCAGAAAATTGATAAATGGGATCCGAGAGGCTCTGACAAACACGTAACGGGATCCAACGGAATCTCGAGTCTGTTGGGGTGCCAAGGTGCCACGCCTGATGCGTTGCGGTGATCATGAAACTTCCCCACCAAAGAGGACTCGGCGGCGCCAAACAAGCGAACCGCTCGATAAGTCCCCACCGTAGTGAGTGCAAAACGGAAAATGAAATGCGGACTGGCAGCGAGTGGGTCAGAGTACTGAGTATGACTTGGACTGGGTATGAGTGACGGAGCGAGTAGGCAAGTCTGAGTGTGAATGATCAGAGTGCGGGTGGCCTGTGCGTATGAATATGAGAAAGGGCAAGGAGGTTATGAGTATCAGTTGATCTCAGAGTGTGTGTAAGGTCTAAGTATAAGTAACCTGGGCACTATCATTGCGAGTATCGGTGTGAGTGCGTCTGAGTATGAGTCTGATTGTGAATGACAAAACGTTGGCAATTCAGAGTGTCAGTCTGACCTGAGTATGAGTGATACGCAGCGGAAAAGCGTCATACCGCCTGGTGTCAATATGTAAGAGCTAGGTATGAGTTGATCTGAGTGTGAGTGGTCTGAATGTGAGTCTGTCTGCGCATGAGTGAGTCTGAGTATCCGTGGATCTGAGTATGAGTATGAGCGTGTTGGACTGGGTGAGAGCGAGTCTGAGCGTGTGGGTCTGGGTATGAGTGAGTCTGCCAGTGAGTCTGAGTCTGAGTATGACTGAGTCTGAGTGTGAGTGAGTCTGGTCGACACTGAGTCTGAGTATGAGCTAACCTGAGCGCGGAAGGGAAGGAGACGGGAAGAAAAGGGAGGGAGGCAGGTGGAGGCGTCACACTAATGATTAGAGCCCTATCTTAGGGCATGGCAAATATCAAGAAATCACCTCTTCGGATATGGGGAATAAGAACCCCATACTTAGGATATGGGCAGAAGCATTCGGGAAAGAATAGGAAGCGAAAAGCAGACTGAACAAACAAACATGTTATGGGGCCTCTCTTGGGACATCTTGGTGTCGCTCTGAGGTCTCTCGAATCGTCCGAAGAGATCCCTAGAGCCATGTTGGGCCATCTTGGGGCTCTCGTGGAGCCCTCTTGGACCATACGTTTCTCTTCGACGGGCAAGGTGGCGCCAGTGGTCTGCACGTATTGTGGCTCATCCGAAGTCTGCGCTTGACGAGGCAGGCGGATCTGTGCCTGAATCCCTCTCGGCCACACGCCGTAGACAAAATCGGTCATGGAACTCCAGGTCCACCCTCCCGCTACTCCTGGCGGGGGACGACGGGGAGGTGACAGCATGTCTCGGCCGCCCCCGGGGAAAAACCGGCGCCGGCGGCCCGCGGTTTTGCGAGGGCCACCTCGCCTGGGGCTGCCTGATTTGAATTCCTCTAGAGCCACATGTCCAGCAAGGGCCGAGCAAAGGCGGAGCAAGTGACGCTTGTCAGGAAAAGGAGATGCCGCACTGGTGACAGCGGCGGCAATCAAAATACAGGCTGGTTCAGAGGCCATGCTTGGAACTTATCGTTCTGCAGGCAGCGCCCCGTCAAATCTCAGCGCCGGGCTGCAAGACCGAGCGCCGCAGCAAGGGCGAAGGCCGGCGCCGTCTGGACCGCCGAGCGGGCCGCCGCGCCTGTGACGTCGGGTGGGTCGCCGTCGGCCGTAGTGGTCTCCAGCAGGCGGCGCTCGTTGGCCATGGTGGTGGACTCCTCCACCGCGGCCCCAGCCGCGTTGCCCACCGACAAGAAGGTGAGGAGCGCCAGGAGCATGGTGCCGAGGCCGCCGCTGCGGGCCGCCGCGCCTGTGACGTCGGGTGGGTCGCCGTCGGCCGTAGTGGTCTCCAGCAGGCGGCGCTCGTTGGCCATGGTGGTGGACTCCTCCACCGCGGCCCCAGCCGCGTTGCCCACCGACAAGAAGGTGAGGAGCGCCAGGAGCATGGTGCCGAGGCCGCCGCTGCGGGCCGCCGCGCCTGTGACGTCGGGTGGGTCGCCGTCGGCCGTAGTGGTCTCCAGCAGGCGGCGCTCGTTGGCCATGGTGGTGGACTCCTCCACCGCGGCCCCAGCCGCGTTGCCCACGAACGTGAACGCGAGGAGCGCCAGGAGCATGGTGCCGAGGCCGCCGCTGCGGGCCGCCGCGCCTGTTTGGAAGCCCGAAATGGGTACGGAGAAAATGGGTACGATACCCAACGACAAATGTTGCCCAAAACCGACGGCGGCCGCTGTTGGGCAGGCGTCTCCTTGCCTTCGATGAACAACGTCCGCGGCGGCGCGGACAGCGAGTCATGCTCAAAATGAACAAGAACTGCTGTTAAGCACTGTGACCCACCTTTCCGTACCCATTTTGATCGTCCCGAGCCTGTGACGTCGGGTGGGTCACCGTCGGCCGTGGTGGTCTCCAGCAGGCGGCGGTCCTGCATGGTGGTGGTCTCACCGCTGGCGATGCAGCCACGGCTGGCGAGTAGGACGGCGAATGCTGAGAGCAGCACGCGGTTCATCGCGGCAGGAGTGGAGCAACAGAGGCCGATGGTGCGCGGCAGAAGCTCAGTGTGCCAAAAGCCTTGGGCCAAGGTGGTCTCGGAAGCGATATTGAGCTATCTTAGACGCACACCAAGACCCCCGAGAAAACCAAAACTAAAAAAACGTTGGTTTGGCAACGATTTCGGGCACAGCGGGAACGGCTGCTGGTTGAGCCCGGTGATTGGTGCTGCTGCCAATTGCAGCCGTCTACTGATACGTGTTGCTGGTCGGTGATGCTTGCCGCTGATTGTTGCGGCGTGTTGCGGGTTGTTGCTGCTTGCCGCGTTGTGCTCCGCGCCACTTGGGGTCTCTCTTGGGTCCTCTCGTGAGCTTCTTCCGGCCCCGTGAGCTTGATGGAGAATCTCGGGGCCCTCAGAGCGGTCTCGGCATCCCCTGAGGCCGCCGATCGTCTCCCTGGAGGCCCGCGTCAACGGTCCGAGGAACCTCTTGAAGGCCCGTCGGGGAACTTTAGAAGCATCTATGGCCCTGATGAGTCGTCTCGGGGCGTGTGGGGGGCCGTTGGAAGCGCTCTTCGGCTTCCTTGGCGCCGTCTCGGGGCTCTCCTGGGCCATCTTGGGCTCCCCAGGGAGCCCTCCTGAGCCATGTTTGAGGCCACTTGGACCCCCCCTTGACTGGTTCAGGCTGATCTTCGGGATCTCGTGGGCAGCCTCGGAGCCATGTTGAGCCAAAAGGGCGAACAGCCCAAAAATATGGAAAATCAAAAAATGTGTACTAGTCTCGCTGACTGAGGCTTCTCCAGGAGCGTCTTGGAACCTGGGCGGAACCTGTCTCTGGACTTGTGCCCATTCTTGCTGTTTCTCGTGTCATCTTCGCAGCCTTGTCGCCGACCTGGGAACTCCCTGGGGCCACTTAGGGCCGTTCTGAAACCCTCTTGGGACTCCCTCGAACAGTGTCAGGCGCTGTTTTGCAGCCCAACGCCCGAATCTGGACAACTATGTCGGGGACAACAGGACTCCGTGCTGCTTCAGCCGCTTGCTGATTTTGCTGCTGCTTGCAATCGTTTGCGGCTGCTTGCTGCTTGAACTTTTTCTGTCTGACTCCCCACTCGCAGCGGCTGCTACTGACACGCGCAGCTCGCTCGCAGCCCCAAGAGTGCACCGCCCCAGCGGTCGCGCCAACAACGAGCAGAAACGAAGAGCGGAAGCTCGGCGGCGAGCCAGGGGGGGGAAGTGAACGGGGGCGGGCCTTCCCAGAGGGCTCGGAGAGCCTCGGGCCTTGTGAGAGGCCCCGCCGCGTTCGGAGGACGCCTGCCCCCCCGCGCTTCCCCCCCTGTGCCCGCCGCCAAGAGATGGCCGGAGCGCCCGGGGCACCAGCGAAGCGCCTCGACGGTCGCGCGGTGCCCCCACTGGAAGACGGCCAGCCGCCATCTCCGCGCGCGCCCGCTGCGGCTGGCGCGCGCCCCCGCGAGACGGGCGGCTGGCCCCCACGAGGCAGGGGGCCCGGCGCGGGCGGCGGGGCGCGCGAGCGCCCACGCCCCCGGCTGGGCCCCTCCCCCTGCACGGTGTTCCCCCGGGGCCGTAGGCGACGCGAGGAGGAGGAGGAGGAGGGAGGAGGAGGAGGAGGAGGAGGAGGAGGAAGGGAGAGGAGGGAGGAGGAGGGGAGGAGGAGAGGGAGGAGGGAGGAGGGAGGAGGAGGAGGAGGAGGATGGAGGAGGAGGGAGGAGGACGGGTCGCCTGAGCCCTTCGGAGGAACCCTCCACCTCCTCCCAGGCCCTGCAGGACTGCCCGCAGGCCCGCGCAGCCTGCAGGGGCCTCCCGAGTGGGGTCCCAGCAGGCGGGGTCGCAGTGCCGCGCCGCGTCGCCGATGCATCGCCGCTGCACAGCGGTGCATCGGCGATGCGTCGGCGACGTCGGCGATGCATCGGCGGTGTCGGTGTGGAGGACATCGGGCTCCGCATCGCCGCATCGCGCCGACCCTGTCGGCGTGTGCGAGGGGCTGGCCCGTTCGAGTCGTCCCCTCAGTCGATCGTGAGTCGTCGTCTTTGCCGGCTCCCTTCCCTCTGGCCCCCATTTCCCTGGGCCCGTCGCCGCTCCCCCCCGCCCTTTCCTGGGCCCTCCTCCCCAAGAGCGCCAGCCAAAGCAAAATTGAGTAACGTCGAAAATCAATCGAAGAGAAGCCCCCTCCCTTTGATCCCTCCCCGGTCGTAATTCAATCGAAGAGAACCTCCTCCTTTTGATCCCTCCCCCCTCGGGGGAAGGGGGGGCCCGGGGGGGGGTCCTGGGAGGGTCCTGGGGGAGGTCACGCGGGAGACACGACTCCCTCGGTGGGGGTCCAGGGAGGGGGGAGGGGGCCACCACCCAGATACGCATCCCTCCCGGGGGATCCCGGGTCCAACAGAAGCACCAGGACGGGCCAAGAGTGCCGAAAAGGCCTCCAAGCAGTCCAAGAAGGCCCCGCATCGCCGAACGATCTCTCCCAGACGCCTTCACGGTCTCCAGAAGGCCCAGGAGGCCTGCAAGACGCCCCAAGAGGCCTCCAGGAGCACTCCCAAGAAGGCCCCAAGACGCAACATTCATTAGTCCCTCAGGTGTTTGAAGGATTTTGGCGTTCTCGCCTCTTCCGCTTCCCAACGCTCCAAGACAGCCAAAGAGGCCCCCATGATCGCACCAAGACGGCCCGAAGTCCCCCAAGAGTTTCCCAACATGGCCCAAGAGGGCCCCAAGACGACCCGAGACGCCTCCAAGACAGGCCAAGAGGCACCCAAGACGGCTCCCAGAAGGTGCCCAGACGGGGAACCCGAACGGACATCTCGAGCCCTCGTCCCCGAAAAGCTCTCAGGAAGCCCCAAGAGGCCTCCAAGACGCCCCCAAGAAGCCCCCAAGAAGCCTCTGGAGGCCCCCAACTCCCAAGACGCCCCCCGAGTCTCCCAAAACGCCCCCAAACTGCCCACCGGAGGCCCCCGAAAGCGCTCCGACGAGACCCCGACAAGCATCCGTTCCGCCGCCTGCTCCTCATCCTCCTCCTCCTCCTCATATTTTTCCGCCTCGCCTTCATCGTCCTCAACCTGCTCATTGCCCTTCTCGACCTTCTTCTGCCCCAACTCCCCTCCTCATCCTCCTCCGCATGCTCTTCCTCATCCTCCCCCTTCTTCTCCACGGCGTCCTCCTCCTGCTTCCTCCTCCTCCTCCTCCTCCTCCTCTCCTCCTCTCCTCCTCCTCCCCTCCTCCTCCTCCTCCGTCTCCTCCGACTTTTCATCCTCCTCCTCCTCCTCCCTCCTCCTCCTCCTCCTCCTCCTCCTCCTCCTCCTCCTCCTCCTCCTCACCCTTTCCCTCCTCCTCCTCCTTCCCCTCCTTCGCATCCTCCTTCTCATCATTCTTATCCTCCTCAGCATGCTCCCTCCCATCCCCGCATGTGTTTCCCCTGGCGCTCCGCAACCTTCCAACGACCTTGTCCTTCCCATCCTCCGCCTCTTCCTCCTCCTCCTCCTCCTCCTGCCCCTCCTCCTCCTCCCCCTCCTCCGCGTCCTCCTTTTCCTGCTCTTCCGACTCCGATTATCCTCGTCCTCCAACTGTTCCTTCCCCCGCCCGTCTTTTCCCTGCCCCTGCTACCCCTCCTCATCTTCCTCCGCATCCTCATCCTCCCCCTCCTGCTGTTCCACCGCGTCCTCCGCCTCCTCCTCCTCCTGCTCCTCCTCCCCCTCCTCCTCCTCCTCCTCCTCGTCCTCGTCGTCGTCTTCAGGGTCGGCGGCACCGGCCGCAAGGCCTTCACAATCGGGCTCTGCATCGAGCCGCATCGCCGATGCATCGGCGATGCGCAACTATCCTCGGACCCATATCTACTCGGACCCCATCTGGGAGGCTTAGACTCTACTCGATCTGCCCCTCTCAGGCGCTGCAGCCCACGCAGTCGTACTTCGGCGCGCCCGCCTTCAGCGCGTCAATGGCCTGCTTCTCCACTGAATTCGCCGAGGTGGTCTCCGTGGAGGTCGCCGCCGTGGCAGAAGATGCAGCACCTGTTGGATAGCCGCCCGCGCTGCTCACCAGCGCCGGGCTAGTGTTCGCGCGCTTGATCTTGTCCACATCCACGGTGAACTTGATCGCCTCCGTGGCAGCCTTGGTGCGCAAGTCCGCCACCGTGACCCCTGGCACGTGGAGGCGCGATGGAATGCCAAGAGCTCCCTGGTAGGATTTCTGTAACATTCGAAGGGCGCCCCTCCCCTCTGCTAGCGGAGCGCTGCGCGCAACGCCCACGCCCCAGAGGCCACGACCCCTGGTAAAAAGTTGGCCGGCGTGGGCCCCCAACAGTGGGCTCTTGGAGTCTATGCGATGCAACCTACGTTATGCAATATATCCCATGCAATTCCAAGGGCGCTATGAAGCGCAGCGAGAGTCAGTGCTCAACTTGACATTGCCCACTCCGCTGCTCGCGCAAACATCCCACCCACCCGCCCGCAAGCAGGCTTGCAAACCCCACGCGGCGGCGGTTGCGATGAATGCTGGGCGTTGGCTGGTGCATCTCTGCGACCGCTGCAGCCCGCGCGTGCACGCGCGAGCAGCGGCCAGCTAGTTTGGCGCGACCAGCGCAACCGCGGTGCAGCTGACCGCTGGGCACTTCCCAGCGGACACTCCACTGCGAGTCGGTGACCCCGCCGGGCGCGGTATCATGGCAACGTCGACAACGGTAGACACGACGATGATGATAATAGCGATGCTGGTGACGATGCTGACAACGACGACGGCACGGCCAGTGACGGCGCGGATGCTGATCACGCCGACGACGATGACGGCGTCTTCGCGTCGGTGGTGAACGTTTGGAAAGAATCCGGCATGCGCGCGCGGGTGATGCGCGAGTGTGGCCCGCATGGTGTTATTTGACACGGATCGTGCCCCCCCAAGCAAGCGCGCAAGGACGTGCGAATAATTTCGGCACGCGGGGCGAGAGGCCCATTGGGCAGAATTCGACGAACATGTTGAAAACCTTGATGTTTTCGCAAAACTTCGCAAGAGCGCGGGCGCGCGCTTTTCTGAAAATTGATGTTGCGAAACCACATGCTTTTGCATTTGAATTGACACTCGGTTTTGAAATCGCACGGAGGTTTTTGAGGGATGTCGGCATGTGCGGGCGACGATGCGCGCGCACGTCGTCACACTTTTGCATAAGATTCTTGCGAAGGCGGGCGCGCAAGGGCGTTCGAACGACTTCGGCATGCGCGCGCGACGCCAATTTGGCAGCATGTTCTGAAAATGTCGAAGGCCATGGTTATATTGGGAATTCGCAAAAGCGCGCGCACAAGCTTGTTTTGAAAATCCGTGTTGTTCATATGTCTCGATTGGACGGACAATTTTGAAATCCTTACGACTACGAACGTGTTCGAAGGATTTCGGCATTCGCGCGCGACGACGCGCGCGTGTGCACTTCGTCAATGTTTTGCAAAATGTGCTTTAGATCTTATGACTGTTGATAAACGAATGCGCGGGCACAGAACTTTTTACAGAATATGGTCGGGGGCGGATACCGGCCTGGCTGGGATGGCGCGAACTCATATTCAGGATGGACGACGGGGCCGAATCATATGCAAATTGCAAATCGAAAAGGCGAACCGATAATCCGAGGGGGGGTAGGGTCCATTCTCTCTTTATGGCACAAAAAAACTGACTACCCTGCACCGCGCTAGATCAATTCCCATGTTCTTGAAAACATCCCACCTACCCACCCGCAACTTGGTTTGCAAAACCATGCGGTGGCGATTGCGATGAGTGCTCGGCACTGGCTGGTGCATCTCTGCCGCCGCGCTAGCCCGCGCATGCTCGCGCGCACAGCGGCCAGCTAGTTTGACGCGACCGACGCGAACGCGGTGGCGGTGACCGCTCGGCACTTCCCAGCGGGCAATAAAGTGCGAGTCGGTGACTCGGGCGGGCGCGGTATCATGGCAACGTCGACGACGGTAGACACGATGGCGATATTAACGATGGTGACGATGCTGACGTAGACGACGGCAAGGCCAATGACGGCGCCGATGCTGATCACGCCGACGACGACGACGGCGTCCTCGCGTCGGCGATGAAGGTTTTGGAAAATGTTCCACATGCGCGCGCGGTCAACGCGCGAGAGTAGCCGCACGGCACTCTTCGACACCGACCGTGCACCCCGTGCACGCGCGCAAGGGCATTCGAACGATTTCGGCACGCGGCGCCAGAGGAACCGTTTGGCAAAAATATATGTATAGATGTACCTGTATATATATATATATATATATACATATGTGTGTATATATCGGGAGTTGGGGGGTGAGATCGAACTGGAACGGAAAGCCCCCCACTGGGAAATCGGTTTCGGTTTCGTGTTCGTACGTGCCGTGCGTGCGGGCGAGGCGAAGCTGCGTGGGCGGGCGAGAGGAAAGTCTCCTGTGGCTGAGGCGCGGCCGGACCAAATTACTCTCCCCCCGGCAAGAGTTGGCGCGCGGTGTCCCGCCAGTGTCCCGCCGGTGTCCCGCTTGTGGCTGGGCCCCGGCCGGACCAAATGATTCTCCCTCCGGCAAGCGGTGGCCCGCCGTATCCCGCCGGTGTCCCGCCGGTGTCCCGCCAGTGTCCCGCCGGTGTCCCGCTGGTGCGAAAACGATAGTGAGACCGATGACGAAATCGATTGCGGGATCGATAGTGAGATCGATAGTGAGACCGATAGTGAAAAAACAAACGAACAAAAAAATGGCATAGGACACAACCATATGCAGTTGTGAATACCGCAGTTGTCGGCATCGTCTTCGGCGGAGCTCCCCGAGGGCCACGAAACGCTGAACCTGGCGGGGGAGACGCATGTGAACATGGGGCCTTCGGCGGAGCTCCCTACGGGCAGCGAAACGTTGTACTGCGGGAGAGACGCTTTTGAGCGGGTCCATATGGGGCCTTCGGTGGAGCTCTGCATGAGGCTTCGATGCGCTGCACTGGGCGGGGGAGACGCATGCGAACGATTCCACCGGGGCCTTCGGGCCACGAAAGTCTGTGCTGGGTGGGGAAGACGCACGTGGACACCGCCACTGGGGCCGTCGGTGGAGTTCCCCATGGGGCCACGAAACGGCGCAATGGGTGGGCGAGACGCACGTGGACGGCGCAATTGAAGCCTCCACTGGACCTCCCCAACAGGCCACGAAACGCCATACTGAGTGACATGTGAACGGGTCCATTGAGGCGCCAGGCTGAGCTCCATACGAGGCCACGAAGCGGGACTGGGCGGGGGGTGCGCATGCGAGCGCAGCCACTGGGGCCTCAAGTGGAGCCCCCGATGGGGCCACGAGGCGCAGTGCTGGGTGGGGGAGACGCATGTGGACACCGTAGCTGAGGCCTTCGGTGGAGCCCCACATGGGGCTACGAAAGTCTTTGCTGGGTGGGGGAAACGCATGTGGACACCGCCAGCGGAGCCTTAGGTGGACCTCCCTATGGGGCCACGAGACGCTGTGCTGGGTAGGGGAGACGCATGTGGACACCACCATTGAGGCCTTAGGTGGACCTCCCTATGGGGCCACGAAGCGCCGTGCTGGTTGGGGTAGAGGCATGTGGACACCGCCAGTAGGGCCTTAGGTGGACCTCCCTATCGGGCCACGAAGCGTCGTGCTGGGTGGGGTAGACGCATGTGGACACAGCCACTGGGGCCTTAGGTGGACCACCCGTTAGGGCCACGAGTCTCGGATGATGATGATGATGATGATGATGATGATGATGATGACGATGATGATGACGATGATGACGATGATGACGATGATGGTGATACGACGACGAGGGCGACGACGACGACGATGATGAAGATAATGATGATGATGATGATGATGACGACGATGATGATGACGCTGATCCTTATGATGATCATGATGATGGTGCTGATGCTGCCGCTGATGAATATGCTGATGATGATGGTGCTGGTGATGATGATGGTGATTATGTTGATGGTGGCGATGATGATGGTGATGATGGTGGTAATGCTCATGATGATGGTGAGGATGATGACGATTATGATGATGAGGATAATAATGATGGTGACGGTGATGATGATGATGATGATGACGATGATTGTGGTCACGATGATGATGATAACGATGTTGACGACGATACATATGATGATTATAGTACCATGATGATGAGATGATGATGATGATGATGATGATGATGATGGTGGTGATGATGATGATGATGATGATGATGATGATGATGATGATGATGATGATGATGATGATGATGATGATGATGATGATGATGATGATGGTGATGATGGTGGTAATGATCATGATGATGGTGATAGTGATGGTGATGATGAGGCTGTTGCGGATGGTGATCATGATGGTGATCGTGATGCTGATGATGGAGACGATGACGACGACGAGGGCATGCGCGGGGCAGAGGCAGGGATGGGAGGGGGGAGGAGGGGGCGGAGGAAAGAAGGAAGGAGGAACGCGGGGCGCTGTCTCTTCAAAACGAGGACCCAACACCACAGGATGGTAGGGAATAAGCCCGCAACAACATATATGGTCCAGGGCTTGGGCCCCCCCCCAATGCTGATGCCATTGGGCCCCCCCCCCCGCGCGATGGTCCCCCCCGCCCCCCCCTGTGGGCGTGGCGTGGTGCTGCGCTGCGGTGCCCCCCTCCCCCCCCTGTGGATGTGGTGTGGTGCTGTGGTGGTTCAGAGGTGGGCGTGGCGTGGTGCTGCGCTGCGGTGCCCCCCTCCCCCCCCCCTGTGGATGTGGTGTGGTGCTGTGGTGGTTCAGAGGTCGTCGTCGTCGTCGTCGTCGTCCTTGTCGTCCTCGTCGTCGTCGTCGTCGTCGTCGTCATCGTCGTCGTCGTCGCTGTCGTCATCGTCGTCATCGTCGTCGTCGTCGTCGCCGCAGCCGCCGCCGGCGTCGTCGCCGCCGCAGCCGTCGTCGTCGTCGTGAACGTCGTCGTCGCCGTCGCCGTCGCCGTCGCCATCGCCGTCGCCGTCGCCGTCGCCGTTGCCGTCGCCGTCGCCGTCGCCGTCGCCGTCGCCGTCGCCGTCGTCGTCGTCGTCGTCATCGTCCCTGGGACGGGGGCCCGTGGGCCCGGAGCCCGGGATCCTATATATATATATATACATACATACATACATACATACATACATGCATGCATGCATGCATACATACATACATACATACATATATACATACAAACATACATACATACACCTATATTTTCGATGATGATGATGATGACGATGATGATGATAATGATACGACGACGAGGACGACGACGACGATGATGAAGATGATAATGATGATGATGATGATGATGCTGATGATGACGATGATGATGACGCTGATCCTTATGATGATCATGATGATGGTGCTGATGCTGCCGCTAATGAATATGCTGATGATGATGGTGGTGCTGGTGATGATAATGGTGATGATGCTGATGGTGGCGATGATGATGGTGATGATGGTGGTAATGCTCATGATGGTGGTGATGATGATGACGATTATGATGATGATGAGGATGATAATGATGGTGACGGTGATGATGATGATGATGATGACGATGATTGTGGTCACGATGATGATGATAACGATGTTGACGACGATACATATGATGATTATAGTGCCATGATGATGAGATGATGATGAGGATGATGATGATGATGATGATGATGATCATGATGATCATGATGATGGTGATAGTGATGGTGATGATGAGGCTGTTGCGGATGGTGATCATGATGGTGATCGTGATGCTGATGATGGAGACGATGACGACGACGAGGGCATGCGCGGGGCAGAGGCAGGGATGGGAGGGGGGAGGAGGGGGCGGAGGAAAGAAGGAAGGAAGGAGGAACGCGGGGCGCTGTCTCTTCAAAACGAGGACCCAACACCACAGGATGGTAGGGAATAAGCCCGCAACAACATATATGGTCCAGGGCTTGGGCCCCCCCCCAATGCTGATGCCATTGGGCCCCCCCCCCCGCGCGATGGTCCCCCCCGCCCCCCCCTGTGGGCGTGCGTGGTGCTGCGCTGCGGTTCCCCCCTCCCCCCCCCTGTGGATGTGGTGTGGTGCTGTGGTGGTTCAGAGGTGGGCGTGGCGTGGTGCTGCGCTGCGGTGCCCCCCTCCCCCCCCCTGTGGATGTGGTGTGGTGCTGTGGTGGTTCAGAGGTCGTCGTCGTCGTCGTCGTCGTCGTCCTCGTCGTCCTCGTCGTCCTTGTCGTCCTCGTCGTCGTCGTCGTCGTCGTCGTCGTCGTCGTCGTCGTCGTCGTCGCTGTCGTCATCGTCGTCATCGTCGTCGTCGCCGCCGCCGCCGGCGTCGTCGCCGCCGCAGCCGTCGTCGTCGTCGTGGTCGTCGTCGTCGTCGTCGTCGCCGTCGTCGTAGTCGTCGCCGTCGCCGTCGCCGTCGCCGTCGCCGTCGCCGTCGCCGTCGCCGTCGCCGTCGCCGTGGTCGTGGTCGTCGTCGTCGTCGTCGTCGTCGTCGTCGTCGTCGGCGTCGTCGTCGTCGTCGTCGTCGTCGTCTCTGGGACGGCGGCCCGTGGGCCCGGAGCCCGGGATCATATATATATATATAGATATTAAAAAAAAAAAAAAAAAAAAAAAAAAAAAAAAAAAAAAAAAAAAATCTTTCCTTCCGAAATCCGCAAGTGCGCGAACGCACACTTTTTTGAAAACTGCCGGAGCGAAACAATGTGTTGTTGTATGTGTTTGGACACTTGGTTTTGGAATCATTGCGAAACCGACGCTGTTTGACGGATGTCGGCACGCGCGCGCGACAACGCGCGCGTGTGCACTTCCCCAAAAGAGCTCCAAGCTGGCCCAAGAAGGCCTCTGGAGAGAAACTAACACTCCTGAGTCACTCCCAGACTTCCTCACACTCAGACTCAATTACGCTTCTCACCACACCCAGACTCACTCGCACTCAGGCACGCTCACACTCAGACGAATTCGCTCCGATACCCTTCCACACTCAGACTGACTCAAACTCAGACTCATTCATTCTCAGACTCACTCACACTCAGACTCACTAACACTCAGACTACACCCAAATTCACCAACTCAGACCGATTCACACTCAGACTCACGCATGCTCAGACTATATGGCAACCACGATAGATCAGGCAACCCAGGAGGAGAGAGCTGACAAGAGGTGTATGGTGTATCACAGGCCCAGTCGCGCCTAGATTGGGAGGATCTGTCGAGCGATTAGGTTGTGCTACCGCCTCGGACTCCTCTCTGTTAGGAGCCCCACCATCACGGCGACATAGCAGGTAAAGCACATGGGCCCAAGACCACGTTAGCGAGCCTCTCGGCGGCCCAAGACGGCCCCAAGACAGCCTCACGACCTCCCTGACGGCCAAGAAGAAGATGGCCCAAGGCAGCTCGAACACGGCCCAGGAGGGTCCCAAGACGACACGAGCGACACACCCAAGACTGCCCCACGGGATCTCAGGAGAAGACGGACGACAGATAAGGAGACGACGACGACGACGACGACGACGACGACGACGACGACGACGGCGACGACGACGACGACGACGACGACGACGACGGCGACGACGACGACGACGACGACGACGACGACGACAGGAGAACCTCCGAGACGGCGCGGAAGAGTGCCTCACGTGCTGCGGCTCTGCCGAGCCTGGGGTACACGGAGGTGTCGCGCGCGCGACGGCCTCCCCGTGCGCCGCCGCCCAGCAGAGTGCCGGGCTGGTTGAAGGGGAACTGGTTGGCGGCGCGCACAGGGGGGTGGGGGGAGGAGGAGGAGGAGGAGGAGGAGGAGGAGGAGGAGGAGGAGGAGAGGAGGAAGGAAGAGGGGGAGGAGGAGGAGGAGGAGGAGGAGGAGGAGGAGGAGGGGGAGGAGGGGGAGGAGGAGGAGGAGGAGGAGGAGGAGGAGGAGGAGGAGGAGGAGGAGGGAGGAGGGGGGGGAGGAGGAGGGGGAGGAGGAGGAGGGGGGGGCTTCTTGGAAGCAGGCTGCTTCTTAGAAGGCGCGGGCCTCACATCTATCGACAAGGCCCGCGCCTTCTAAGAAGCAGGGGTGCTGCTAAGGAGCCCCCCCCCCTCCCCCCACCCCCCTGTTCGCGTGGCCGAGCTGGGACACGCAAAGAAGTAGGCACAGATAGGAAGATTCCCCATAGTTTCCCACGTTTTCGGGGTTTTCGTCCTCCCCCCCCCCCCCCCACTTCCCATAGTTTCCCATCTTTTCCTGGGAGTCGACGAGGAATCGTGTCTGTGTGTCTCTTCCCCTCCTGGCGGGTGCGCGGGGGCGGGGCCGGCCGCAGGCGGCTTTGGCTAGTACATGCCGGTCTTGAGCCCGAGCTGCCAGCCGTGGAAGTGCATGGAGGACAGCTTGGAGGCCGACGCGTCGATCATGTGGATGTTCAGCGACTGCGACTGGTCGATGTACTTGCCGCGGTCGGCGGCCATGTCGAGCACCACCCTCTGCTTGATCTCCCAGACCTCGGGGGTGGGCGGGGCCCCCTTTCGAAAAAAATGCGGTCTAGTGAAGACGACCTCGGGCCCAGACCTGGCGGGCGCAAGGCTGCAAAATGACGGCCGCGGCGCCCTCTCAAGAACCAAAAACGGACAATTCACTAATCGACGTGTCAGTGTGGGGGCTCTGTCCACCCCCGAAAACCGTCTTGTACAGCTCCTTCAGGTCCGCTGGCAGGTCCAGGCCCTGCACGCTGCCGTTGTGCGCGATCAGCTGCATGCGCATGTCGTCCGTCCACAGCTCGCGCCGGACCAGGTCGCGGAGGAGGTGCCTGTTCACAGTCACGAACTCGCCAGACAGCACTCGGCGAACGTACAAGTTCTGCGTGTAGGGCTCGAAGGACTCGTTGTTCCCGAGGATCTGGGCCGTGCTCGCGGTCGGCATGGGGGCGACCAGGAGAGAATTTCTCAAACCGTGCTTGGCAATCTTCTCCTTCAGGCCGGCCCAGTCCCAGCGTCCACTCTTGGGCGTCTGCTTCCAGAGGTCAAACTGCAGCAGTCCACGGCTCGCGGGCGAGCCCACGAAAGTCTCGTACGGCCCGTCCACCTCCGCCAGATCGCACGAGGCCTCGCAGGCCGCGAAGTAGATGGTCTCGAACACGTCCTCGTTGAGCCTCTTCGCGACCTCACCCTCGAACGGCAATCGCATCATCATGAAGGCATCAGCCAAGCCCTGCACCCCAAGGCCGATGGGGCGGTGCTTCATGTTGGAGTACCTGGCCTCCTCGACAGGGTAAAAATTACGGTCGATGACCTTGTTCAAATTCATGGTCACAACCTTTGTGACTCGGTACAGCTCCTGGAAGTCGTAATCCTCCACGCGGTCGCTCTTGACGAAGGCTGACAGTGCAATCGACGCCAGGTTGCACACGGCCACCTCGCCAGGGGACGTGTACTCGATGATCTCTGTGCATAGGTTCGAGCAGTGGATGGTCCCCAGGTTCTGCTGGTTGGACTTCCTGTTCGCGTGGTCCTTGTAGAGCATATAGGGCGTGCCAGTCTCCATCTGCGCATCGACAATGCGCTGCCAGAGGCTCTGAGCCTTCACCGTCTTGCGACCCTTGCCGTCCTTCTCGAATTGAGCGTACATATCCTCGAACTCCTCTCCGTAGACATCCATCAGTCCCTTGGACGTCTCCTTATCGTACGCCTCGTTGGGGCAGAAAAGCGTCCAGTCGCCGTTCTCCTTCACGCGGCGCATGAAGAGGTCGGGGATCCACAGGCCGTAGAACAGGTCGCGGGCGCGCTGCTCCTCCTTGCCGTGATTCTTGCGCAGCTCTAAGAACTCGAAAATGTCCGCGTGCCACGGCTCCAGATAGATTGCGAAGGAGCCCTTTCGCTTGCCGCCGCCCTGGTCAACGTAGCGCGCGGTCTCGTTGAAGTTGCGCAGCATCGGCACGAGCCCGTTACTCTGGCCGTTGGTGCCTCGGATGTAACTGCCCTTCGCGCGCACGTTCGACACCGCGACGCCGATGCCGCCCGCGGACTTCGAGATCTGCGCGCACTGCTTCAGCGTGTCGTAGATGCCATCGATGCTGTCATCCTGCAGGAGCCGGGGGGAACAAGCGGACGCGCGGGCGCAGGGTGCAGGCGGGAGCGGAGGGGTGGGGTCGGAATGAGAAGTTCGGGGGGGCCCCTGCAAGGGAGTGAATCATGGCAGAGACAGAGATAGAGAGAACAAAAAAAACGCCGACATTTCAGCGTGTGTGAAACGCTGTCGTCGTCGTCTTGCTCTTCTTACTCCAATTATTGGTTATACGATTACCAATAGCATTAATGCGATGATAATACCCACATGATTAATACTATTGTTGGTATGGCTATTATTATTTTGTCGATCATTTTACTACTATTTATCCTTATTGTGACTAGTATTAACATATAGTGAATATATTATACATGTTGTGTATATTACTGTGATTGCTACTGTGATCTTACCATTAGCAGTACAAGTATTGTGAGTAAGGGCATGTTTGTTATTACTTTCAAGTGTTAGTAGTATTATGAATAATAATACTAGCATAAAGAATATGATTATCACTAATAATACGATAAGTAATGTTATCATTGTTACTACTGCTATTATCATACTTCTTTGTTTTTTATTATTAGTACTATTCATCGTCATCGTCGCCGCTCGTCCCGAGAAAAAGCAAACGAATAGAGACAAGGAACGTCGTAGTTAGGTCGATTCCCTCCCCTTTCTCCCCTTTCTGACGGGAGGGGGGCGGTACAGGGGGGGGTAATTAGGGAGGGGGGACGGGGAGAGGGGTCCCGGGTCAGATTGCCGCCCCGCCCTTGGATTCCGGTGGCGCGCCTCACCTCCCCAGTCACCCCTGTGGGCAGGGAAGACAGGGGGGGGGGTCCCCTCGGGGATGGACAGACCCCCCTTTAGTAAAACGTGGTTTAGTGAAAACGATCTGAGGCCCAAACCTGACGGGCGCAGGCCTGGAAAATGACGGCCACGGCGCCCTCTCGAGAACCGCAAAAGCGGACAATTCACTAATCGACGTGTCACTGTTGGGGGTTCTGTCCGCCCCCGATCCCCCTTGTGAAGGGGGAGTCCTGCGGGAGGGTCCCGGGGGAGGTCTCGCCTGTGGTTGGGGGGTGGTCCGGGGGCATCATACCACCACCCCCGGGGCCCCGGCGGGTCCCGAAGAGGGACGCCAACGAGGGTCCTGGGGGAGGTCCCGCCTGCAGGGTCGGCGGCCCCGGCCGTAAGGCCTTCACAATGCATGGGGAAGTGCAACAGAGAGAGAGAGAGAGATAGAGAAAACAAAAAAAGAGAGAGACAGAGAGAGAGAGAGAAAAAAGAGAGAGAGAGAGAGGGAGAAAGAGAGAGAGAGAGAAAGAAAGAGAGAGAAAGAGAATATAAATATATATATATATATGTGTATATATATAGAGAAATAGAGAGAGAGAGAGAGAGCGAGAGAAAGATAGAGAGATGGAACAAAAAAATAGCGAGAGAGAGCGAGAGAGACAGAGAGAGAAAGCGAGAGAGAGAGAGAGAAAGAGAAAAGAGAGAGAGAGAGAGAGGGAGATAGAAAAAAGAGAGAGAGAGAGAGAACAAAAAGAGAGAGAGAGAGAGAGAGAGCGCGCGCGCGCAAGAAGTATAGAGAGAGGAAGAAAAAGAGAGAGATGGGATGGGCACGGGTAAGCGACCACGCAGGCCGGCCAGGACTGCAGTCCTTCATTGTGAGCAGGAAGCAGGACGACATCTGCGGGGTGGGCGTCCCTGAAGAAGTTTCATTTTCCACCAGGGTGCAGGCAAGAGCGGAAGGGGAAGAAAGAATAAAAAAAATGCGGAGGCTTTCGAGAAAGGCGAGGATGAATGGAGAGGAGACTGAAGGGCGGGCGAAAGACGGAGGCACGGAGAAGGGAGGGAGGAAAGGAAAGGAGGAATGAGGAAAGAAGGGAAGGAAAGATGGGGAGACGGAGGTGAAAGCCCGTGGCGGTGTGCCCTGACGGGCGGTGCTCCATCGCGAATACGATTCCAAAGGTCACAAACCTCTGCTGTCGGTGTTTGTCGGCTCGGACATCAGCGTTCAGCAAGTTGTGGGTACGAACGGCTTCGGTGTCTAGCTCGTCGGCCTGGTGATTGCAATACTCAGACAGGACGGCAGGTGAGACCCGCCTCGACTTCGCTCTGGCCAAAAAGGCCAACCAAGTTGAAGGGGAACTGGGACACACAAATAAATAGACACAAATAAAAATATTCCACATATTTTCCCGTAGTTCCTTGTTTCTGTCTTCCCCCCCACTTCCCATATTTTGCCATATTTTCCTGTGAATCGACGATGAATTGTGTCTGTGTGTTTCTTCCCCTCCTGACAAGTTCACCTCGCGAAGCAACTCACGCTCAGCCTCGGCGGCGGCACGGATCTGCTGCCCCGAGTCTATACGCCAGCCAACCAGCCCCTTCCCCGCGTCATCACGTGCTCGTGCGAAGGACGCTCCGCGAGGGCACCCAGGTGGAGCAGGGCCGCCGTCTCATCACACATCGCGTTCTCCACAATACCGCGAAGACAGGAGGCGCAGTAGGGCCTCTAGCCGGGGCCGTAGACTGCGTCCAAGGCCGCACGCGCCAGCAAGAGGCAGTCTGGGCTGGAGCACGCGCCATCGGTGATAGCGCACGCCCAACAAAACCCGAGCGCCGCATTGCAAGCTGAAAAAACTATGCACTGACACCCGCTGGTCAGTCCCACCGGCCCTCTCGCTGTACGCGACTTACTGATGTTTGATGCGCTTCCTCTTCCAGGCCCCGCGTCCTTCCCTGCTCCTTACCAACAAACACCCCTCCACCACTCGTCTGGCCCCGAAGCAAGATCAATGCCGACCCCCCACCCCCCCGGCACCATCACCTTTTTTTTTGTTGGTCTGCGGGTCGAGAGCGAACCTCTTCCGGTTAAGAGCTAGGCGGGCCGCGCAAAGCACTAATTGGGGAGACCCGGCACCATCACCGTCAAGAACACAATGTCCCTTTGCCGGAATATTTCGACCGCGTTCGGGCGCCCCGCGATCACGTGACATTGCCTTCGGGAGCCTCCGAGAGGCCCTCCAGACATCCCAACACCACCTTCAGGAGGCTTAAGAGAGGCCTCCCACGAGATCCCCACAATCATCCAAGAGGTCTCCAATCTATAACTCAATCATGGTGGCGTGATATTGGCCGAAGATCACGCACATGGAAAAATCCGCAGATATGCGTGTGAATGTATGTATGCATATACTCACGCGCAGACGAATATAAACAGCATGCACATGTGTGCATGCTGCATGCACATACCTATGCATACATGCACGTGTGCATGTGCATCCGTACCCCCTGGATCAAGCCCCCCTGGCTCAAGGCCGCCACGGCTCGAGCTCGCCGCAGCGGCCGCCGCCACGGGGCACGAGGTCGGCCCCGACCTCCTGCTTGCCGGTGGGGGCAGGGACAACGTCTCCTCTTTCCCTGCCCCCGCCTCCCACGCCATGTCCGCGCCTCCTGGCGGCGGCCTGCCGGCCGCCGCCTTCCAGCCGCGGCTCCGCCTGGCCGCCGCCCCGAGGGCTGCGCCGCCTGGCCTGGGAGCGCGCGGCCAGGCGCTGCCGCTGCTGCTGCCGGCGCCTCGCCGCCAGCGGCCACGACGCGCGGCGGCCGCGCGGGCGCTGCTGCTGGCCCCCCACCGCGGGCCGACCGCGGCCCAGCGGCACCGCTGCTGGTCACCGCGCGCTGGGAGCGCGGCGGAAAGCCCGCCCGGCGCGCGCGCGCGTCCGGCGGCGGGGGCGCGCGCGGCCGGCCGCCGCCGCCAGCGGCGCGGCCCGCCTCGCCGCCGCCGCCCCCCAGCGTGGCGCCGCCGCCATGCCCGCCCGGCTCTGGCGCGGTCGGCCCTGCAACCGCCGCCGCCGGCGCGCGCGTTGGTGCTGCCGCCGCGGCCCCAGACCGTGGCCCTGGCGCTGCGGGCCGCGCCCACGGCGCGGCGGCCGCGCGCCGCGCGTCGGCCTCGCCTGCTTACGCTGCCGCAGCCGCCTCAGCCGCCGCTGACGCCGCCGCCGCGGCGAGCGGCTGCCCTGCGGGCGCCGCGGTCGCCGTCGCGCGGCCGCCCTGGGTTCGGCGGCACCCGAGCAGGACCCAACGCAGCGACCTCGAGGGCTTCGAAGGGGAACGTGAAGGACAGCATGGGCGCGCTGCCGGTCGAGCAACGGCGCGGTGGGTCGCGGAAGACGAGGACGTCGGTGGGGAGGTGAAGGACGAAGTGTTCGTGCGCGCGCGCGTTCCCACCATCCTGGCACCGCTGCGTGTCCTGGAGAGACCTCGTCGCCACGGCCACCTCGCCGACGCGTCAATGAGGGGGGGGATCCTGCGACCGCTGCTCGTCCTGGAGAACCCTCGTCGCCACAGCTGGAAAGCAAAACCCAGCAGCACAAACGCGAGCAGCACGACGAACCCCAGCAGCAGCATCGCGAGCAGCACGGCGGACCCCAGCCGCTCAGTCGCGTCGTCCCAACAGTGTCTCAAGGAACTGTCACTAGTAGTGAAGTTCCCAGCGGGTCCAGGGCCGGCCCCCCTGGAATTGAAGGTCAGGCCCAGGCGAAGCCCAGCCGCCTCCGTTCGGGAGGGACCACGATCGAACCTGGCGTCGCTGCTCGTCCTGGAGAGCCCTCGTCGCCACGGCTGGACTCTCGGGGGGTCGGAGAATTTTGCGGGGACGGAGGTACAGGTAGGTCCTGGCACCGTTGTGCGTCCTGAGATCCATCGTCGCCACGGCCAGCTCGCCGACGCGTCAAAGAGGGGGTGGCTCCTGCGACCTCTGCTCGTCCTGTAAAGCCCTCGTCGCCGCGGCCGGAAAGCAGAACCCAGCAGCACAAACGCGAGCAGCACGACGAACCCCAGCCGCAGCATCGCGAGCAGCACGGCGGACCCTGGCAGCTCAGCCGCGGCGCCCCACCGGGCTCGCCAGAAAGCACGTCGGCCCCACCCAAAGCTGCCACACCGAGCCCCTGAATACCCCCAGCTGGAAATCGCGGCATCATGTCGCGGCTTCCTGCCACGGATAGTGGCACGCCTCAGACATGCGCGGCAGGGGAGAAGGAGCGTGGAGCGCAGCGCGTACCTTCCCGAAGATGGACCGACTGGATCTGCGCCGGCCGACCTAGACGAAGGAGCGCGCCCTGGACCCAGACCTGCCCCGGCTACCCACCGCGGCGAGCCCAGACGGAGCGCAAGAACCAAGCTCGCTGCTGGTTACCGGGTGATCGCGGCATCACGTCACAGCTTCCTGCCGCGGCTGGTGGCGCGTCTCCTCTGCACGAGAATGGGGGCGGACGGGGCGGGGAGAGCAGGGAGTGCCATTCCGAGGCCGGACGTGCCTGTTTCACCCCCTCCCCTCTCCTCCTCCCCCTCCCTTCTCCTTCGTTGTCGCCACGGGGCTCGCTTGCGCTGGTAAAAAATGGTTTAGAAAGTGCCATTCCGAGGCCGGGCTGGATGGAGCCGCGACGGCCGGGCCAGGCGCGGGAGCCGCCAGCAACGGCGTCCCTGGGGACGAGTTTTGCGCCAGCTGTGCGGTGCAGCCGGCGCACGTGGCGCCCACGGGGTTGGGTCTACCCCCTGGCGGTCCCACCCGCACAAGCGAAGGCAGCGTGCGGCAGCAGCTAGATGCCCAAGCGGCGCGCGGCAACAGGCTACGGGACAATGCTGCGGGAACGACCGATCCCCTCGGCTCGACCGCAGACGTCGCCACCGACGCGCCCCCTGGCTCCTGGGTTCGAGTGCTGGACACGGACGGCCAGGTCCATACAATGCTGCCCGATGCGGCCGCCTGCCCAGAGGCCCCCCTGGCAACGCACCCCGACAGCTCTTGCGGTCGCCGCGACGTGGTGCGTCTCGGGCTGCAGTTGCGCCCAGTAGCCTGGGAGCTGGGCCCGCAGGTCGGCGCGGCACCGCCTCCCCGGGAAGAAGTGGTTAGAACGGCGGACAAAGCAGCACTCCGTCGCCAGGTCAGCCACGGCCCCTTCGCTCCCACCTGCCCGACCTGCCCCGACAACGGCTCGGACGGCCCCCGTCCGCGCGGGACGGCGACGGCGCCCCTGAAGGAGGCAGCCTCGTGAAGGCCTTGGACCAAGACGACTACGGCGGCGACGACGACGGCCCTCCCCCGCCTGGTTCGCAAGGTTCCCCTGGATCACAGCAGTCCTTTATCCAGAGGAAGCCGAAGTTCTCGAGGAACCGGCGAAGCCCTCGCACGAGACGCTGCCACGCTCAGCGGCGTACCTACTCCGCGTGGGGGGGGGGGCGGTGGGCACACGGCTGGAAGTGACGGGGATTTTCTGGGCGGTGGGGCATCCCGGGGGAGCGGATGAAGGGGAGATCTGGCACCGCCGCGCGTTCTGGAGAGCCCTCGTCGCCACGGCTGGCTTCTTCGGGCGGCCGGGACGGGGTGGATCCTTCGACTGCTACTCGTCCTGAAGAGCTCCCGTCGCCACAGCTGAAAGGCGGAACCCAGACGCTGGGCCGTGAGCAGCAAGACAGACGCCAGCGGTACCGCGGGGAGCAAGATGACGGATTCCTGATGCACGACCGCGAGCAGCAGGACGTCCTCCAGCAGCAGCATTGCGAACAACACGACGAACCTAAGCAACTCGACCCTGCGGAACGCGCCGGACTCCAACAGCGCGACAGTGTGCAGTCGGGAACCAGAAGAACACCTGCACTGCAACCGCGAGCGGCCAGACGGACTCAGCTGGGCAGATCAAGCTGACGACAGCGACGCCGACGCCAACACGCCTGGACCCAAAGCCCCATCTGACACCACTGTCGTCGCCCAGCCCTTCACTCCTCCCGACTCCTCTCCCGACGGCGCCCCGACCAACGCCGCTCGCGACGACGTCTCTCGCGGCTCCCTCCCCGCCACCTTCCCCGACGTCCCTCCCCACGCCTGGCCCGCCGCCCCCTCCAGCACCCGTGCCCGCCCCCTGCCCGCCAATCGGGGCGGCGCGAGGCGTCCGTCCTTGCAGCCCGCCAGCTCAGTGGCGCAAGCCAGCGACTCGGTCATCGCCGTACGTGAACCCATCGCCCGCCCCTGACGCTCCTCGCTCTTCCCCAGTGACGACGGCCGTCGGCAGCTCCGGCACCGCAGGCTGCTCCAGCGCCAGCCCGCGAGACGGAACACCTCTGCCTGCATGGCGCGAGCTCCTGCTGCTCGTCAAAAACACCTGGACCGCGTTCCCAGACACCCGCGTCCTTTAGGCTTCGTTCACCTCGGACTACAGGAAGCAGGGCAAGGGGCGGGCGCGCCCTGAGGATGTCCCAACCTGCGCCCTGCTCGACTCACTCAGCTCGAACGGGGCCCTGGTGGCCCAGGTCAGGAGGATACAGCAGATAGATGGTGAACATGGGGCGGCCTGGCATAGGTTCTGCGCTTTGCGCGGCGGTGGCACCCGCAACCCCAGCCAGCAAGCATGACGCCTCTTTCCTACGTTGTTTCCTCCACCATGCGCCGTCACCCCTGGACGACGCGTGGCACCCTGTACTCACAGGCTCAGGAAGCTGAGCCAATATGGTGCCCCTAGACAGACCATGTACTGTCCACACCGACAGAGCGTGGCCCCCAACGGCCTTCGGCCACAGTTTTGACACAAGTAGCGCACCAATTAAGTGCCCCCAGACCGGCCATGCGCTGTCCACCCCGACGGCGCGTAGCCACCCGCCGGGCAGCTGCAGCGCTGGCGCTGGGCCACCAGGTGCCGACGCCCCGCCTGCTGGGGCCTCCCCGCACGCGGGGCGCTCCTCCTCCTCCCCCTCCTCCTCCTCCTCCTCCTCCTCCTCCTCCTCCTCCTCCTCCTCCTCCTCCTCCTCCTCCTCCTCCTCCTCCTCCCCCGTCCCCCCCTCCCCCTTTTCCTCGCCCCTTGTGCCGTGTCCCCCCTTCCCTCCGCGCGCCGCCATGGCGCTCGCGCTGCTGCCGCAGCTAGCAGGTCCCCCCATGAGGCAGTGGTCTGGGCCTGGTCTTGCCGCCCGCACCCCACCTCGCGGGCCCAGCATCTTGCTGGTGGCGGTCTGAAACCTAGATTGCTCGTGGCCTTGCCGTACCCTGTCAACCTGGCCACCCTCCTGCGCGACCTCACGGCGCTGTTCCTCACGTGCAAATATCATACTTCATCGACGGCGTCACTGCGATACCCTTTGCTTTCACGTGCTGGGCGCCGTCATCGCCCGTGGGTGCCCCGGCGCTGCGGCCAGGCAGTTGCCATGGTTCCCGCTGACGGGGCCGGCCGCGCCAGCGCGCTCGGGTCGGGATTATTCCGCCTCTGAGTGGCCCCTCCCCCTCCGTCCTCCGCGGCCACCCTGTCCGTCTTTCCCCCTCTCCTGCACGCTGGCCAATTCCCTTCTCGGTGCCACCGTTTAGCTCTATCGCTGGTGCAGCCATCATGCCTCGCCGCCGACGGAAAGAGTGTGTGTGTGTATGTGCCTGTGTGTGCGCATAACGCAATGCATCGTCCTCAGGCCAAGGACGACCCCAGAATGGACAACCAGGTACAGGAAACCACTGAGGGGGAGGCCTTCACCGTGGCGGGCCCTTCTCTCTGCGCCTGCACAGCTTCGACGGCGCCGGTCGCCGCCTGAGCCGTCGCCATGGGCACTGCAACCACCACCGCCGTCATCCTCATCCTCCTCCTCCTCCTCCTCCTCCTCCTCCTCCTCCTCCTCCTCCTCTCCTCCTCCTCCTCCTCCTCCTCCTCCTCCTCCTCCTCCTCCTCCTCCTCCTCCTCCTCCTCCTCCTCCTCCTCCTCCTCCTCCTCCTCCTCCTCCTCCTCCTCCTCCTCCTCCTCCTCCTCCTCCTCCTCCTCCTCCTCCTCCTCCTCCTCCTCCTCCTCCTCCTCCTCCTCCCTCCTCCTCCTCCTCCCCCCCCCTCCTCCTCCTCCTCCTCCTCCTCATCATCATCATCCTCCTCCTCCTCCTCATCCGTCTTCGGTTGCAGGGCAACGCCGGGCCCGCTCTCGCCCCAGAGATCAAACTGCGTCCCGCGTTGAAGAGCGTCGGCGTCGCGTGCGTCATCTTGCGCAGCGACATCAGGTCGTACGTCTCCACCGCTGCCTCAAGGAAGAGGGGGAGGAAGAGGAAGAGGTAGGAGGAGGAGGAGGAGGAGGAGGAGGAGGAGGAGGAGCAGAGGCAAGGAGGAACAGGAGGAACAGGAGGAGCCGGAAAGGGGAGCAGGGGGAAGCTGTTGAACGCTGAAACCATTGAAGCACCTGACGGACGTCAATAGCTTTTGCCTATTGGCGCCCTCTTGGAGGTCCCGTTGGAGGCCTCTCAGGGCGCCTCTGAAGACTCCTGGCCCGTTTGGGGCCATCTTGGGCCGTCTTGGAAGCGCCTTGGGTCCTCTTGGAGACCATCTTCAGGTCGGGCATGTCCCCCTACAGGCCGAGTTTGGACGATAAATGAAAAATTGTCAGAGAAACAAAAAAACAAAAACAACAAAAATGTATTACTTGTTATTGGAAGAAAAAGAAGATCCCCTGACTATGATTTCACATGTTTGAATATTCCTCCTGTAGAGGGACAGGTCCGACTACAGGCCATTTTGGAGGAGGCGGCGGAGGAGCAAGGGGAGGCGCCCACCTGCGGGCGCCTTGCTCAGGTCGATCCCCTCGGGGCGCCTGCCCTTCTTTTCCCCAGACAGGCAGGGCGTGGAGGAGGAGGACGAGAATCGGAGGCGGGCCCGGGGGGGCAAGCGAAAAGGGGCGGGCCTTCTCGGAAGGCTCGGAAGTCCCCCGGCCTTCTGAGAAGTGTCCCAAGCCCTCCCCGCGGACACAGACAACCTCCCAGAAAGCGCGAGGTCTTCCGAGAAGTCCCGCCACCTTCTGAGAAGGCCTTATCCTTCTCACTTCCCCCCCCTCGCCGCCGAGAGAAGGCGGCACGCGCTCTGGTGCTGGCGCACTTGCGCCCCGACAGTTGCCGATGAGGCAGGTGCGGCTCCCGCGGGGGGGGGGCCTTAGCACCAGGGTCTCGGCCATGACGCGCCCCACGTGGGCGCGCCACGACCAGACTAGGCCAGAGGAAAGAAGGAAAAGGAGGAGCAGGAGGACTACGAGAGGAGAGCAGGGAGAAGGAGGTCGCGGCCTCGACGTTGCCGCAGTGAATGCCGCAGGCCACCCGCATGAGCATGTGCTGGAAGCCGCGCGCTTTTGAAATCCCACTACCCCTTCAGGAGAAGGACGGTCTGTTTACCTCCTGATACCTCCTCCGCATCCTCATCATCATGCTCCTCCTCATCCTCCTCCGCCTCCTCCGCCTCCAACACCTTGCTCTTCTCATACTCCTCCCCATCATCCGTCCTCCCCCTCCTTCTGGTCCCATGGGCAAGGATCGCCTCTAGCTTTTGCCGGACGGGCGCCACCCCCAAAGACAGAATACACAATCACACCAGTCCTCTGGGCGGAGGTGGTTGAGGGCGCTTCCTCTTACAATCCCCTTCTTCCCCTTCGGGGAGGGGTTTATCACTATTTCATTTCTAAGATACACCCCCTCCTCCAACGGACCAGCGACATACCCGGGACCATGACAACAACCCTGCGCTATCATTGGCAAAGACCATGCTATGTGGGCGACTGTGCGCATACAAGTATGATATGATGGAGCCAATAGAATGGAGACCGCAGGAATGGTGGAATACGGGAGCCGACTACTTGGTCAAGTACGAGATGCAGTCAAAGAGCAGCGGGGGCACGCTGACACTGTAAAGCGTTCGACGCTGCATGGCGGACGCTGCGGCCATGCAATGTTGTTCAGACGGGGGGTAATTACTGACCAAGTGTAGGCGGAGCTTTTGGGGGTCCACTTCTAGCACCTTTCGGGAGTGGTCGAGCAGCACGTCGGGGGAGCTTTGGTTGTTTCTACCAATATGTGGAGCGAGCGGCTTCCGCATTTTAAATGGAAATATATGGTCTTGATACGGACATCACGATTATGCGCAGAGCTCGCGAGAACACACAGTCTTAGCAACCCGATCAGGGGCACTCGGATGTAAAGAAAGCTCTTAGGCTTGGCGATGTCAAGGTCGAGCTTAGAACTGCTGCACTTGAGTGGGCCAGTGAACTGGACCCCATTGACAGCTACAGATGTGTAACTTCATAATGTTTGCCGCTGGCACTGCTGTCGGCGTCGACTGATGGCGCCCCAGAGCGCTGCTGGATATTCCCGCATCGGCGCAGGATGCACTCGTTGCAGTGGTTCGTTCTTCTCAGGCGAACATGCCGTGGTCTACCCAAGTCCTTCTCGGACTCATTGCCCTCTTCGCAAAGAGCAAAACTGTTGAAAGGCTAGTTTGCATATTTCCCACGACTTATTGTTCGCACACGAAGATGAGGGGCAACAATATCGATGAGTGGATCTCGGGACACGTTGCTTTTTGGGACTCTGCGTTGACAGGTTCGTCTGCCCTGAAAACCAATCTCATGCGTGAGCTGTATCACGGATTTGTCCTCAACGAAGGAACTATTTCTGTGGCGCTTCACTGGGACCTCGAGAAGTTGTTTGGCACTGTAAATCCCAGGAGCCTGATCCTGTTGGCCAGGCGCACTGACTACCCTCCCAGCCTCCTCGATCTTGGAATGTCGATTCACACCTCGCCCCGAATGCTCGAGGTTGAAAGTCATGTGTCTCCGACGATCGGTGCGGGAAGAGAGCTCCTTCCTGGCTACGCTTAGGGCATGCCATGGGCCAAAATCTACATTCACGAGGCCCTGGAGGCCTCCAGAATGTGCAAGGCGGGGAGGAAGAGCTCCCTGCACAAGACATTCCCTGCTGCTTTTCGGCGCCCGTCGGGCTGATCCCTTCGCCGTTTTCCGCGCGGCGCGCGGTGCGCGGCCGAGCCGTGGACCCCAGAAATAGCTTGGGCTTCAGGAGGGGGTGGGGCAGGGGGGGAGGAGGGGGAGGAGGAGGAGGAGGGGGAGGAGGAGGAGGAGGAGGAGGAGGAGGAGGAGGAGATTGGCAAGCTCGACTGCTCAGTCCGCAAGGAGTCGGCCCGAGCTTCTTCCCCTGAGGCCGCGGGGCTGCGCATCGCCCGCCAACCGACCCCGAGCCGTGGTGCTCCTCATCCGGCCTCAAAGCCATGACAGGAGAGGAGAGGAGAGGCGAGGAGAGGAGAGGAGAGGAGAGGAGAGGCGAGGCGAGGCGAGGCGAGGCGAGGAGAGGAGAGGAGAGGCGAGGAGAGGAGAGGAGAGGAGAGGAGAGAGGAGGAGAGGAGAGGAGAGGAGAGGAGAGGAGAGGAGAGGCGAGGCGAGGCGAGGAGAGGGGAGGGGAGGGGAGGGGAGGGGAGGGAGGGGAGGGGAGGGGAGGAGAGGAGAGGAGAGGAGAGGAGAGGAGAGGAGAGGAGAGGAGAGAGAGAGGAGAGGAGAGGAGAGGAGAGGAGAGGAGGAGAGGAGAGGAGAGGAGAGGAGAGGAGAGGAGAGGAGAGGAGAGGAGAGGAGAGGAGAGGAGAGGAGAGAGGAGAGGAGAGGGGAGGAGAGGCGGGGCGAGGCGAGGCGAGGCGAGGCGAGGCGAGGCGAGGCGAGGCGAAGAGAGGAGAGGAGGAGAGAAGTGGAAGGAGGAACGAGGGGCAGGAGGCCGGAGGGAGGAAGAGGATGACGGCGGTAGCCGAGCAAAGGCAAGAATGAAGGACACGGGCGGCCAGGATTTGGCTCGTGACCCAGAGGTTTCAGAGAACGTCCAAACTGTTCAAGCCAGGTATGTTTCGGCGGCGAGCGAGAGAGCGAAGTAAAAAGGAGAAGGCCTTCTCAGAGGGCGGCGGGGCTTCTCAGAAAGCCTCTGGCCTTCTGAGAGGAGGTATTCTGCGTCTTCGGGCAAGGCTTAGAAAACTTCTCAGACGGCCAGGGGGGCTTCCGAGCCTTCTGAGAAGGCCCGCCCCTTCTCACTTTCCCCAGGCTCGCCGCCGAGTGCTGGCTGTGGGCGCCTGGGACAATCGGGTTCTTGGGCTGTCCGCTCATCAACTCCAAGCGCTTCGATGCTGCCCAGTGCCTGTGGTGGTGGAGCCCAGGGGCCTGCTCGACCACGGTGCATTCGCGTGTAGACTGAGGCACGAGCACCTCGCCATAATTTGCGAGCCACATGAAAAATTAAGCTTTCACGAGTTTGGCGGCCTGCTGGCATCCCCGCTAATTGCCGATGGCGGAGGGTGAAAGGACCTGTGATTGCCACTGTTGCGTTCCTTCACGACTTAGGCTCGACGGCCGAATACATGTGTAAGTGGTTGGGCGAGTTTGGTTTCCCCCTGTCTCTTGAGGCCAAAGATTTTCGTCGTCAATTGTAGAAGGCCCTCACGGTTAGTTTTGCTGACTGGGTGTGGGTGAGACCTCGGAACATTACCTGGGGGGCGCGGGGTCCAAGCCAGCGTTGGCTTTTTCCCCACATCCTAAGTGGGTTTCTTGTTTTCTCTGGACACCCTCCGCGCAGGATCTCCTCACCCCCTCTCTCTCTCTCTCTCTCTCTATTTCTCTCTCTTTCTCTTCCTCTCTCTGGCCGTCATCGTCATCAGTCATCATCACTCACCATCATCATCCTGATCATCACAACCATCATCACCCCCGCACCCCTTCACTCACCATCATCATCATCACCACCCATCGTCACTACTCAGCATCATCCTCGTCATCGTCACCATCGTCGTAATCATGACACTCATTCACACTCACACCATTATAATCCTCCTCATCAACAACATCATCATAATTCGACCAATCATCATCATGACCATCCTCATCCTCATCAACACCAGTATCATCATTCTGTCACTCATCCTCATCATCACTCATCATCATCAGCATCATCCTCATCACCGATCGCTCACTCATCACTTCGTCAGCACTCACTCCCTAGTCTGAATATGGAGGAAGCCTAGAGCGGGAGCGTCGTCTGTGAATGAATTGTGAAGAGATCTCCAGCGGGATCCCCTTCCATATCATATGGGTCCCGCACTTCACGTTGGTAATCCGAGCGGGTCACCCTCAAACCTGTAACTGTCGTCATTTTTGGACTCCTGAGGCCTGAATTTGGAGGAAGTACCAAGCGGGAGCCTCGTCTGTGGGTGAATTCTGAGGAAGTCTCAGGCGGGAGCCCCCTCTCCTTATGGGGGCCACACTTCGTGTTGGTAATCCGAGCGGGACATCCAAAACGTGTAACTGTCGTCATTGTTGGGCTCCTGAGGCCTGAATATGGAGGAAGTATCAACCGGAATCCACGTCTGTGAGTGAATCGCGAGGAAGTCTCAGGCGGGAGCCTCTTCCCTATGGGGCCGGCACTTCATCTTGGTAATCCGAGCGGGTCATCCTCAAACCTGTAACTGTCGTCACTTTTGGGCTCCTGAAGCTTGAATATGGGAGAAGTATCAGGCGGGAGCCTTGTCCGTGAGCGAATTGCAAGAAGTCGCAGGCGGGAGCCCCCTCCCTATGGGGCCCGCACCTCATGTTGGTAATCCGAGCGGGTCATCCTCAAACCTGTAACTGTCGTCACTTTCGGGCTGCTGAGGCCAGAATATGGAGGAAGTCTTAGGCGGGAGCCTTGTCTGTGAGCGAAGTGCAAGGAAATCTCAGGCGGGAGCACCCCCCCCTCCCGATGGGGGCCGCACTTCACGTTCGAATCCGAGGCGGGTCATCCTCAAACCTGTAACTGTCGTCACTTTTGGGCTCCTGAGGCTTGAATATGGGGGAAGTGTCAGGCGGGAGCTCTGTCTGTGAGAGAGTTGCGAGGAAGTCTCAGGCAGGAGCCCCCCCCCTATGGGGCCCGCACTTCATGTTGGAATCCGAGGCGGGTCATCCAAAACGTGTAACTGTCGTCACTTCTGGGCTCTTCAGGCCTCACTGTGGAGGAAGTATCAAGCGGGAGCCTCGTCTGTGAGTGAGTGGCGAGGAAGTCTCAGGCGGGAGCCTCTCCGTATGGGTCCCGCACTTCATGTTGGTAATCCGAGCGGGTCATCCGGGCGAGCTTTTTGGGCTCCTCAACTCCTGCGGCCGCCCGCGCGAGAGTTCCTGGAGCGCGGGCCGCCGGCGTCCCTGCGGAAGGCGCTCCAGGAGTTCGACAAGAGAGCGGTAAACTTCAGGGCTGAAGCGGAGCAGCTCGCGGCAGAGCTGGGCTTCGTGCTGCCTCCCGCCTGAGCGCCGCGGCGCGCACCTGGA